AAAACTTAAAACTTTTCAACGGGGGCGATATGTTTGGACATTCAAATCTATTTGAACATTCAAATCAAATTTCTTATATCAGACTGTTATATTGAACAAAAGTGTAGCAACATTCTTAAACATGGCAACGCCGTAATAAACCTAGCAACTCAAAAGGATCTGGCAACGCGCAAGAACAGCTGCAGGAAGAACGGCAAGCGACCAATAGGATCGCTCAGCGCGACCAATAGGATCGCTCGGCGCGACCAATAAGAAGAGACGGATTCGAGAGCATGTCACGACATCACGTTGTTATTGTTTGACTAATAATCAATTAAAAATTCGTTTTGTACCGCAATAAATGGTTAATCAATTAAAGTATTAATTCTCGTTAATGTGTTTGGGTTCCCTTTGACCTATAATAAAGGGTGGTCCTTCGAAAGTCCTCAACAGAGGATCATATAGAAAGGTTTATCTGTACAATGTACGGAAAACCCAATTTGTGCAATATCAATGATGCTCGATTCGATATTTTTTACGATCATTGTAACCCCAAACCAAATTAAAGTCCGTTCAAGAATCTTAACACGGTTTTGCATGGTGGTAACATCGTACTATCAAAATCAGATCATAGATCTATCAAAAAAGATACTAGATCATAATTTATTGAAGACTGCACTTACGTCAACAAATCTACAGGTATTTTTAGATGAAGCTCCAACCTTCATTCATACATTGACGTTTTTATTAGGTAATTTTGTGCAGATTGGTATGCCAGTGTCAGATCCACGATCTACCACATTAGTATTTGTGTTATTTGCTTCAATTTTTGACAAATTATAGACTTCTTCATGGAAACACTTGAAGGTATCAACAATTTCTCTATGTATATGTCCTTCGAACTCGTACCTATAGAAACTTGATCAAGGATTGTTAAAAATTGTCGTTTCGCATTGCCTTCAAAAAATCTGATGAACGTTGTTGTTCAGAACCCTGAATTAATAAGAATTCCATACTATTTTCATATAAATTTCCTCGTTTATCACGCTCAACATCTTATTTTTATACCGACGATATGGACGATGAAATTGAAGGGATAATGCATGATTCTTCTGATGATGAACAATAGAAATTGATTTGATACGCAAAAAATTTTAAAAAGAATCTTAATATCACTATTTTTCAGGTATTATTTTGTCATTTTTTCCTATATTTTGCTGAAAGTGTCCTCAACGCATGCACTACAAGCTTTTCAGCTAGTGCCATATTTTTATTAGGTAATATTATTTTGTTTTAAGTATGATGCAGTCGAAGAGTTTCTTGACTCTAAGTCATATTTCACTACTTTCTGGTTAGATTTCTGAAATTTTGGATTTTCTATATGTGGCATTTTTATTATTTTTGAATGCTAAGAGTTCCTATTCGATTTTTCGTCTTTTGTGCCTGTTTTATTTTGTGTATTTTTCGTTTGTATCTATCTATATTTGAGTTTATATTTTTTAATTGTTTTCGACTCTCTAAAGCTCCTATTTACTCCTTTACATGTTATGTAGCTTTTTAAGTTTAAAGGAGTAGATATCTACAATAGGTATCTACTAGCTTCTACCCTTATAAAAAGTTTCGCAACTGTTCTATTTTTTTTTTTAGAATATGTTTTATTTTGTAGTTTTTAGGTAACGCACATGTCTATAATTTGGCCAGAATTATCTATTTTGTTAATAAATTTGTAGTTATTTATTAAATATTTCTTATTTTATGCTGTATTAACAATAAAATCTAAATTTTCTAGAGCGTCTGCAACTTGTTGACCGTCTGCCGAATTTTAAAAAAATATTTGTTTACTCTACGACTCTACACACAAATACCTTTCATTTAAGCCCAAATTTGCATATGTACCTCATAAGGTAACTTACGTCAGATTTTCGGCGTCGCGGCGGGCGTCTGCTTTACATAGGCGTCCAAATATCGACGTCTGCCGGCCGAATTAGGTATCCAGGAGCTTTTCCCTTACACATTCTGAAATTTTTAGGCATGTACCAATGAGGTGAGAAAAGCCAGATTTTCGTCTTTTTGACGAGCTGTCATTTGTGAAGTTGACCGCTGGACCCCGGCAGACGGCCGATTTTGAGATATGCACATAAAGTACTTTCATTCAAGAAACTCGAACCTTTTGTACCCGATGAGGTGACTTATTTGCTTCTCGGCCGTAGGTCTATTTAGTTTGCTCAAATTTCAATGAAGATATGGGCAATTGTTCATGAACATGTCAGGATTTTTTTTTTAAATTTAGATCCAAAAAATCTTTCTTTAAAATTATCATTTTGAAATGATGTTAGATTTTTTTTTTCGACTAATTTAGACCCGCTCTATCAATTGGAAAAGTTAAAATTACGAAAATCTGAAAAATGAAAATTTTGAGTTTTTAATTTTTTTTCAAAGGATTTGGATTTTTATTTCAAAATTTTCAAATTTAATTTTCTCGGAATTCGTCAGAGATTTTGGATCAATTTTTTTTTGACATTGTAGCTCCTAATAAGGGCTTCAAAATGGTACTCAGTTAAAGTCGCTAGCATTTACGGTTTTTAAGAAAATCGAGTTTGAAGTTTTTGACTAAATTTTGAGTAAATCAACTTTGAGGCTTAATTGTGCGAAAACTATTTGAGCAATGGAGCTCAATCTTGCATTGATTTATAGAGAATTTGATGCTCTTTCCAACTATAGATAATTTATTTTGATTTGCTCAAAATTTAATAGAAGTATTGGCAATTGCTCCTAACCTTGTCAGGATTCAAAAAAAATTTAAACCTAAAAATTGAGATTTTCTTTTTAATTTTTCTCTGCGTTGAAATCAAGAATTTGTAATGATGTTAGAGTTTTTATTTACAACCACATATGTAATGTTCACATTTCTAACTTTTCAAAAGTTTGAAAGTGACACTTTTTTGAATTTTACTTTCCACCCGGGTGGAAAGTAAGTTCTCATTTCCTTAAATGTTTAAGACGAGTCCTGCATGTCAAACGTTTTTTTAAATGAGTCAAAACTTGTCAACAAATTTTTATTATTTTTTTTTTTGTATTTAATCGAAATTATGAGGGTTGTAATTGTTGTAAATAAAATAGTATATAAACCTCGGTAGGAAGTTTCATTCCTGTCTCGAGATTATAGTTAACTTCGACGCTTCGCAGTAATGAAACTCTTCCCACCTCGGTATGTAATATACTATTTTCGACTAATTTAGACCAGCTCTATCGATTGGAGAAGTCAAAATTCAATAAATATAAATAATAAAAAATTTCGAATTTTTCAAAGGGTTACCCCTTTAGATTTTTATTTCAAAATATCTGATCTTGGATATCTTAAAATCTATTGAAGATTTTGAATTAAAATTTTCAGGAAATGTAACTCTTGACAAGGGCTTTAAAATGGTATTTAGTTAAAATCGCTAGCTCTTCTGGTTTTCGAGAAAATCGAGTTTGAAATTTTTGATAATATTTGGACTAAAAGCTTACTTTGAGATCTAATTGTTCAGAAAGTATTCGATTTATCAGAACCAATTTAGCATGGATTTATAGAGAATTTAATGTTCTTTCCAACCATATATAATTTGTTTTGATTTGTTCAAATTTCTTTGAAGATATTGGCCATTATTCCTAACCTTGTCAAGATTTGAAAAAATTTCCAGAACGAAAATTGAGATTTTTTAGCTTTTTGAAATCGCCATTTTGAAAGTGATGTTAGAATTTTTTTTGATTAATTCAAACCCGCTAAATCAATTGGAAAAGTCAAAATTTCGAAAATATGAAAAATAAAAATTTCGAGTTTTTGATTGGTTTGACTGAAACCCCCCATAAGCAAGGCCACTGGCCAAACAAAATATATGTTGCCAACTTAAAAATAACTGGTCAATAGCAACAAGAGCCTGGAATAAACAGAAATTGAAATATAAAAAGGGAAACATATATAAATATATAAAAAGAACAAATATAAATTTATATAAAAATCAAAGGACCTCACACACCACTTAGGGCGGGTATTATAAAACTGCTTTGATAGTTAACTTGAAGTTAACTTTTTGAATGTAAACATGTAATTCCAGAAGTTAACTTTAAGTTAACTCTCAAAGTAGCTTTATAATACCCGCCCTTATGGGTATTTGGTTTTCTGTCAAACAAATGAAATTTGTATGTTAATGAAGTAAAATTTTAATACATTACAAGGGATGTTTATAAAGTGTATGCCATTGTTAAAAATATTCAAAATTGATGAAATTTCAAAATCACCAGAAATTGCCATTTTCAAAAAGTTTTTCATTAATCACCAGATTTTTCATAAAATCACCAGATCTGGTGAAATTTCACCAAACCTGGCGTCACTGCTGAGAAGTGAGAGAAGACTATCAAGTATTCCATCATAAAAAAACTTCAATACAGGCATTTGTATTATCAGCTCTCTCGAGCTCAGTCCAATCTTGGCGGTTTCATAGATTATATTAAGGATTATAGACTAGACAAAGATAATCACCATTTCTAAAATCATACCTTACAGCAGATAAATTATTTGATTCCTTGTTAAGGTTTTGTTTAAATTGGAATCTTACACTTAATGGAGGTTGGTAGTTATCAATACTCACCAATGCCCTATCAGAGGAATCTGCGACCTCAGCCTCAGTAACGTTTGTGAATACAAGATCTAATGTTGTCCCTAGGGTGTTATTAACATTATTAATTAAGTATAGATCATACTCATTCACCAAGCTATGCATTATTTGAGCCTTTGCAGCATTATATTTAAGTCTCTTTGAAAACCATTAACAATTTCTATAAGACCTACAGTAGATTGTTTGATTTAGGTAGATGTCTGTAAGTAGCTACATACCTACTTAATTTTCTCCAAATTTATGGATATTAAAGTTTCAGATTTCCGCTAACAGCCTTAATAATGCATGGTAATTTTGCATGAGATATTCCAAAACAAAAAATAACTCACTCAAAAATAAGTTTTTAAAACCTCAAATATCTAGATTACTGCTCAAAAAAATCAACCAGAATCTTCCAAACTTCCAATTGAAACCTCCTCAGCTTCCAGCTTACAAAGCAAACGACGCATGAGCGTCGTCAGCGAGAATTCCACTCAGCACCAGCAGCGCATCAACGATTGGGTACAGGTAAGCATCTATTGACCAATCAGAATCGATTAGGTATCTAGAATATAAGAATAAGATCAAAATTTTGTTGAATCACTAAAAAGTTACTCAACCGAGTTGAAATAATTACAGTTCTACTAATTTTTGTTTCACTTTTGTCAAGATAAGTTCACAACTCTGACTAATTTTTCCTGAAAGATTACAGTTGAAAACGACAACGTAAGCAGCCCGGACAATTCCAGAACGGAAGACTTGAAAATCGACCCGCAAAAAGACAAAGCCAGGTTCGCAGAAATGGAAGAAAACGTGAAACGATTCCTGTTTGGCGAAAGCGATTTTTGGAAAACCGTGGAAATCGGAAAGCTAAAGTACCAGAGCTATCAAGAGGGCGAAAAGAAGCCGAAACTAGGATCTAGAGAGGGTAGCGGGACCAGTTCGCACACTGAAACGGAAATTTAATTGAAAACACTATATAGATTAAGAGCTTTATTTTAGAGCAGGCGCTACGGCAAAAATGCTCAAATTCGTATTCCTGTGATCCTAAAGAATAGGAAAGTACATCTTGCCGGCAGCTGGAGTGGTCCCTAACTCTCCTGCCATCCCCCAATGCAAACTTATATGGAAAATATCACTGATTGTACCTAAGGCTTTCTTTTCAAGCAGTCAAAATAAATTACCTACAACTTGTTAGATATCTCCGCAATTCTAATCCAAAATATAGACAAATAAAAGAAGACTGCGAGATGTACATGGTCATCCAACGACGACTGAACAGGGGCTTATTTTTGACCTTCCCTGTTTTTGTAGTTTTGAAAAAATTCAAAATAGCCAATTGGCATATTTTTTTCTGGAGAACTCAAAAATGGTACCAAAAAATCATTTGAACCAAAAACCAAAGAGTTACGCCATGGGTGAACTGTTTTTCAAATAAAACGGCCTGTTTATGTATGACTTTTAGAAAAGTCGCATTTTTTACGTCTATTCTGTTGAAAATATTCGATATTCCGCTGTTTTTATTTTATTTTAATGTTTTATGCTCAATAATTTTAGCTTTTCCTTTTCAATTTAATAGTAGGTATAGCAAAAACGCCCCAAGTACTCTATGTAAATAGTTAGATGGTAAATGGCGAGCGGTATATTGATGGTGTTTATATACTTGGAGCTTGCTATCTAAAATCTGTGGAAGAGGGTCTATCTGCAAGAGAGAGAAACAAACTAATGAGGTGTACTAAATTATATTTTATTTTACATAAAAAACATCAGCCAAATATCTTCCAATACTTTACATCCTTCTTTATTTCTGTAAAATCAATACTTCACATCTGTTCTATATTGTTATTTTACGGACCACTGAAATATCCCTACTAAATAAGAAACGCCCTATTCATACTATTTCTCATAAATTATAATTTAACTCATTTTACTACATCCGAATCATTCCTAATAACTATCCTTTACCTAATCAAATAATTCTTTAAAATCTCTGAGTCCTTTACTTATGAAAACCCAACATAATTACCTATTTGTTTATCAACTAATTTATTCTCATAAAATCTTACAATAACTTCTGCTTGAAAAATAAACTCCCTAATTTAAAATTCATTTCATGAACAATAAATTCTTTTAACAACTTTCCCATATTCTAAGACAATTCTATTTCATGAACTCCAAGTTTCTTTCCAAAATTTTCTATTCCCTTTAATAGTTTATTTAATCAGAACAAATTCTATTATAAGTTTCCTTTTAACAACATTCCAATATTTTAAGACAATTCTATTTTTAAAGATTTCCTATTCCATTTAATTAGAACAATTACAAATTCTCGCCATTCCTGGCTAATATACAAAGTTATTTAAATTCTTATGAGTTCGTTATTATAGCCCTTAATTTTCAAAGAGGACGAACCAGTTCAAACTTCTACTCAAATCGAAACTATTTATGTTCTGTTAAATGCATTATAAAGTTCCTTCATAATTTCTTTTGCACCATTAAATGTCATTATATCTGAAGGTAATTAAGTTATGCGATAATGTTTCCTTTATAAAACACTCAAGTTATTAAGTTTATTGTAATAAAGTTCCACCGTGATAAAAATCAAAAGTTTTTTCTAGTAAAATTCACACAAAGTCATGTTCATCAAAAATAATTCTTGTCACTATAGAGTACTTACATTTTGTCCATAAAAGACACGTAAAATTACTTAATTAATTACTCAAAATATTTAGCTAGTACGCACATAAATTATTGAACGAATTTCAAATGTTATTACATTCACGATTTTCCGTAAATTTTCTAAGTCAAATTATACCCGAGGCCAAACGCCATAAAAGTAACTTTTCGCGAAACTGGGCAGACTTTACCTCAAACTGGACTGGACTGTTTTCAACTGGCAACTATCAACTGTCCAATGGCAACTGAACCCGCGGTTTTTATATCTTCCCCCAAATCGTCAACAGGCGGTCATTTGCCTAGCAATCCGACACTTCCATTGGCCAACGTAATTATTAATAAAAATAATGATGCAATTTCCTTGGAATTTTACATCATTTTTGGCCTGAAAACGATTAATTATGTCGCAATATTCTGATTTATTGAGGTCAAAACATTATTGGTTCAAGAATGCCATATATCATCAAATTAATTAACATGCTGGCCTTGCTAAAAAAAAAGTTCATTGATCGGGTTTTTGATGACACACATGCTGTGTGTCGAGATACGTAGCGTTAATTTGGTTTATTTTAATTTATCGATACAGATTTAAAAATACCGGAATTAAATTTTGATTATTTGATAAAATTTAATTTTTACAGTAAAGACTTTGTAATTATCGGGTCAAATTTCTGGATCATCACAATAGGTTCATAGGTGATAGAGGTATATAATCACCTTTTGTTCAAAGTCAAAAGAAATTTGACATATTTTGTCGCCATCACAGATGTACATATTAAATAGGTGAAGCTAAAATTATTGAGGATAAAACATTAAAATAAAATAAAAATAGGTATCAGAATATCAAATATTTTCAAAGGAATAGACGTTAAAAATGCGACTTTTCCAGAAATTATATAATAAACAAGGTGTTCCATTTGAAAAACAGTTCATCCATGGCGTAACTCTTTAGTTTTTGGTTCAAATGATTTTGTGGTAGGTACTTAAACAATAACTTATTATATAAAGTCAAAATTTGTAAGATAATAGTCAGATGAAGCCCCAAATATTCAATTTTTTGTTTCATCAAAACAGTGAATGTATAGATATTCACCTCCTGCACGTTTCTGATGCTCTTGTTTTGAAAAATGCAAAATTTCCGATTTTGTACCAGGAGTACAGGAATGTGGAAAGATGATAAGTAGAGTCAAGAAACATTGACTCATATTTTGTCTCATAACTTTGTTAATTTCAATCCGATCTTAACGTAATTAGGCTTAAATTAAAGCCAATTGAATTCTCTACAAATGCCTAATAGATAATTTTCATGAAACTTCAATAGTTTCTTAGCTGTAACGCTTCGAAGTTGGATTTTAGAGCCCAAGTATTTATTCGATTTTGGGGCCCATATAAATACCCTAGCGCCATCTCTTGGTAGTTTAACCAAAACATTTAAAAAATGATTTTGAGGCCTATTTTGCCCCTCAATTAATTCCTAGGCCCTAAATTTCATTGTCCAGCCTAATAATTTCACTGTCCAACAATAAAATAAAAACTTTGTCCATTAAAAACCTACAAAGGACAAATCCCCTAACCTAAAAATTGTCCACAACTGACAGCTTCTTTGGGGACAAAAACAATGTAAAATTGAATAACACAAAATGTTAGCCAAAACAATAATTATTGTGCAACTAATAAGACTCACTCATTTAACGTTTCACGATAGTGGACATGGTAAGCAAATTCCTATAGTTTTGCCCCCCCAAATTTGTATATTGTCTTTTGAAGGATTCATAAGCAAAAAGTCACCCTTTTTCGACGAAGATTTATCACAGATTCACTTGGACTACTTCCAAAACGTCGATAGTTTAGAGGGGCTCAGTTTGCGATTCGATCCTGAAGTTTTGGATTTTCGCGAAAGGTACTTTTGCCTCTTAAGGGCCAAATTATGAACTGACTGGTTGTTACCTAGCAGGTACTTAGATAATAGAAAGTACCTGCTAGGTAACAACCAGACACTTACCAGTTGGTCCATAATTTGGCCCTAAATGTTTCATTATAACATAATTGACTCTTTTATTCAAGACCTTTGGGTAGTCCTCATTCTAGAACAGTGACTCTTTATAATATGAACAGCAACAAATCAATTGATCTCACATCTATTTCTGGGAATACAGTACATTTTCATAGCTCTTTTTTTGAGGACAAGGTAAGGTATATTAAAACAAATTAATTTGTTTGTAATATTGTTGTTAATCAATAAAGCAAATACCACCAAATGGCAATACCACCTTTAAAGTGGTTTATTTGGGCAGGCAAGAAGGACCAGTGGAGAGTACATTGTTTCTACACACATCAAATGGATTTATTAAATATAAAGTAATAATTTTATAATGTAACAATGCAACAATTAACTATTATAACCCTATAGGTAAAAGCATTTGGTACATTTAACAACTACAGAGTACGTCCAATAGTAGGTGTAAAACTACCAATAAACTCTACATTTACTCCAGTAATTTACATGCACAATCCTCATTCAGAACCAATACAGGTAAAACAATCACTTCAGAGGTCTACACAAACTACTAATAATTGACTATAGATTGTAGAAATCTACAGTAGTGGCGGGGGTTTTCACTTGGAATTACCTGGGGGGCAACACGAAGGCTCCAATGACTTGTAAAAAATCAACCCTCAAGAAACCAAAGCTGTTATAAGGGTGCGATTTGAAGCTAAGCTGCCTCACAATCATACAGCTTATATCAGGTTAGATTTATTAAAATGATTGTCTCAGGGGGGCAACCACCAACAACATTGTAATACTCAATAACATCAGAGATAGACATGCCATCTCATTCATAAACTGATGTTTGTTGTATTGACAGGACCAAGGGGTAAACCACCTAGCCAAAAATGTGGAGAATTTAGAGGAATTTGTGGAAAATTTGAAGGAACTCATCCAAATTTATGAGAATTTGGGGAATTTGGGAGAATTTGTGAGGAATTTATGAGGAATTTAAAGGAAATTGTCAAATTTAAAAAATTCAAAAGAATAATGAATACAGTTTTTGTAGGTTGATTTCCAAAATTTTTCATGTTGTTATTTTCCACTGAAAAAATTTGAAATTTTGGGAAAATGAGCTTCTCACCTTCCTCTTTACATGCAAAAAGTTTCAAATGTTTTCCTTCGCTAGTTTTCCAGGAAAACTTTAAAATATGTGAGACTGTATTATTATGTGTAAAAAATTCCCCTTTGAGGAATTGTTTGCACCAATTCTAGATTGGTGGTTTACCCCTTGGACAGGACCCTCCATAGGCCAGAAAAGCTCAGCTGTTCGAGGTGGGGATGCGTCAGAAGTGTATAGATAAAAATATCATTCTGTAATTTGCAGTATAGGTGTACAACATTTGGTGGTTGGCCCCCTATATGCTCCAAAATGTTAAAACATATTTTTCTAGAATTAAACTTCACAATCCCCAAGAAATCCTAATAGTGCCCTTGGAAGTTGAGGTGACTCAAGGGCAAAACATCTTCCATCCTCGAGGACATGTGGATTTCGGTATGGGTGGCTCAATGGACGAGCCTAAAGAGGTGGATTTATGCCTTTTTAACCCTTTGAAGCGCGCCATAAGGGTGCACAGCGTGTCTACCTTATCAAAATCCATTAAAACCCAATATTATAATATAAAGATTAATCCTAGCGAGCAGGAGAACAAATGCGTTAATGTGGGAACTTTGACTTTAGATTGTAATCAAGTTATTTTTTGTAAATTGGTAATTGATAAGGTTTATTTTAGGGAAAAATGCCCACCAAACTAATGATTATTATGGCAAAATAATTGTAAAATTTCGCAGCGGTAAAAACCGCACTGAAATACCATATTTCTTAACCGTACTCAAAGGAGGCTTGAGTTATGACAAAATGTCCACCACATATTTCTTAAACAACAAAGAAATGGACACAAAAGAGCGCAAATTCGAAATCCTAAACGAATTTTTCCATCCGGTCAAAATCCTAGACATAAAATTCCCATTCGATATTGACTCGACCTTTAAAATCCAAACTCACACACCAATTACCATAAAACCCTTTGAAAAAAAGCCCCTGTTTAATATCTGGCTGAAAACCGAAACCAAAAAAACCGACATTCAACTCACAAGCCACATCAAAATCCTCACCAACATTTCAAACATCCAAGTAGGTACCATTTTTGAATTCTTCAGAAAAAAATATGCCAATTGGCTATTTTGAATATTTTCAAAACTACAGGAACGGGGATGGTCAAAAATAAGCCCCTGTTCGGTCGTCGTTGGATGACCCTGTACATCTCGCAGTCTTCTTTTACTTGTGTATATTTTGGAGCAGAATTGCAGAGATATCTTACAAGTTGTAGGTAATTCATTTTGAGTGCTTGAAAAGAGAGTCTTAGGTACAATTAATAGGAATTATTGTGAAGTGACTTGAAATTGTGATATTTTCCATATAAGTTTGCATTAGGGGATGGCAGGAGAGTTAGGGACCACTCCAGCTGCCGGCAAGATGTACTTTCCTATTCTTTAGGATCACAGGAATATGATTTTGAGCATTTTTGCCGGTCCTCACATTTTGCATACTCATATCCGTCAAACTCGCGGTCTATTTTCAAATATGTAGATTATTGATATAGAAATATGTATTTTTTATATGATGGAATTTAGTTTGCGGAATTTTCTCAGAGCAGGGTTGCTAGCAAAGGCCCTCTATTTTGGCCCTAAAATACCTATATGGTGTCCATCTATTTAATATAAGGTGATATCACTATCAACAGGTTATAAGTTATAACTAGAATTACTAAAAAATGAGAAAATATGTTGAGATGCGGTTTTCACTAAACTTCTTAGATTTGTTTCAAGTTTTTGCTTAGGTTGTTGCCAAGTCTCAATTTTTTTCAGAAACTGGCAATATCAGAACACTCATTTGAAAGCCTGATCCTCCCCTTCATGAAAATATGTAAGTTATAACTTTGAAGTATTTCTCCTGTTGTCTTCACTGAGTGTATTAATAATTGTATACCTACCATAAAAGAATAGTGTGGCAACCCTGCAATGAAAATTTCCCCAAAACTCTTTTATTTTAAACAAGAAGAATCTTTTAATTTTTTATAAAACATATAGGTATAGGAATCTTTTAATTTTTTATAAAACATATAGGTACCTATATACTTAGATTATATTACTTCATGTGCTTCTAATTTTCTACTAATGTCTCAGTAGCAAAACTTGATAGGTACGCCGAGTGTCTATATTTTCCATGTGAGGCATTTTATTTATTGAGAATGTGGCGTGAATTCTCTTTTAGATCATTGAATCTGTGATTTCCAAAACCAAAACAACCAAAAATATTTTAGTAAGTATTTACCAATTAGGTCTTATATTAATAAATAAATGAATGTGTTTCTATCTCATATATGTGTATTTCGTTTAGATTAGGTGAAATTTACTTTTCTATACTTATTATAGCAGATTTATATGTATTTAGGTGTATAAGATTAGAGAAAGAACTTGCAATAATAATATTTTACCTATTGTATGTATATCTTGATTTTTTGAGATATTTTCATGGGTGTACCTAAATATAAGAATCTAATTTATTGCTCCAAACACTTAAAACCAACTTGAATTTTTGCTTTATTAAAAATTGCAACAAGACTATGTATATGGTTCCTTCCGTAAACGTTTTTCGCTTTTTGCTCCGTATATTTATACACTTTCAGGTGTACCTACTCTAAGTAATTATCTGATTTAATTGCTCATTATTATACAGTAAAGAAACGCATATTATAGCTATGATGGGCTTATTATGTATCCAGTCTTTTGTGATTTATTTGAGATTAGGTAAACTAATAAAAACTTGTATAAAATATAAAGATTTTTATTTTTTGTAATTCAACTCAATAAAAGTCATCTCCTAACTAAAAAATAGATTACTATGATAGCAGCAGCATAAACGCTCCGCAACTAGAAAGTTTTGTGGCACCTTCACCTCTTTTTTCCACATAGAGATGAATGCAGGAGCCGTTTTTTTGCCCCAACAATATCGGAATTGAAATCAAATTTTTATTTTCAAGTGCAAACAAACGCAAAAGTGCGAAAAACTCACAACTATGACATAAAAGAGTTGTTATAGTATTTTTAATTTGGATTGAAACACTAAAAAAACATCTAAGCCGCGTTCAGTTTTTTGACATTGGTTCAAAACAAGTTTGAAACGAGAAATGGTGTTTTCATTGACTATTTCAAACCGGTTTTGAACCAATGTCAAAAAAGTGAACGAGGCTTAGATGTTTTTTCAGTGTTTAAATCCAAATTGAAAATACTATAGGTACCTTTCACGTTAAAATTTGTAGAGATGCTTGTTCAAAGGATGCTTTATCATCCCTCAAAAGGAAAATTCCTTGCCAGCCGTCAAACTTAGGAAAATCATCCCTCGTATGAGAAAATATTGAAAATTTCATATTTTCTTATTTTTTCTTCAGACACCT